ACTACCCGAGTAGCAGTACCACTGGATTAAGCGTATGGCAAATTGGAAATGGGGAAGGGATTGCCTTGGAACCTCAACCTACATGTTTCAAAAGGTGAAACATTTCCTTTAAAGGTGAATGTTCTCAACTTCTGTTTTGCATCATACAGACAACTCTCTCACTTCCATTCAAACTATTAGCAATAGGCGACTGACCAAAGCAATCACAAAGGTTTTTGCCAACCAGTTGGGGAATACAGATTTTTCCCTAGCGACATGTGGTTGCCAGAGGGTTATTGACTGGTCTCTAGGCCTGCAAAACTAGGGCCTTATTCATTTGATCTAACATTGTCACCAAGATCACACCACATGTTCAAAATGACAGCAAAGTTAGCATCACATGTTTTGTGGCCACATGTCTGGAAAACAGTTTCACAGTTATGAAAACAAGATAGCTGTTACAAAGCCATTATTGTGCCACATTATGTTTCACAATGACTCATTGTTTTGCTATGTGTTATTAATGCAGCATGCCCCTCTCCCTCATAGGGCTGCGTTTTGCCTTTTCCCTAAAAACTCAGGCTGTGCATCAGGCTGTGGTCTGCTTACGATGCTTGGCTTTATTTTGAACTAGCTTTCAATCTGAAGCCTGCAGTTTTTCTTTAGTCCAATAAATATCTGATGTTTCCAAAGTTAGTGAATTGTGCTTATTCACATTCTGATCACAGAAATGTCAAAATGATCATGATTATGATTGCTGAGCAGTCCTACATTATGAAGGAAAATTATAAAGTACAATCACTGAATACAAATTCTGTCTGACCATATTTTCCAAGTTCCCTGCATTTTAACTTCAAGTGCAGTTCTGAATTATGAGTTGACAGTTCAAACCTTGCTGAGCTCCACTTTCAGGTTGTACGGATCGCTGCCAAATTGGAAGAGAGACTTTTTAAATCTTTCAACAAGGCGCCGTTTAATGTGGTGGTGTGGAGCTGGTGGAAGCTGGAAATTAAATAAATGCAGGTTATTACCAACAAATACAAATCTAACCACTGCTGACAAAATATTCCTCATGGGTTGATCTCAGCTGGACCAAATAGTCCAACTGATAGAGTGTTTCTGTGACTGCATTTATAATTTTTGAATCAAGAGATTCAGCAAACATTTCTTTATGCCTTTACTTGAGTGATGAAGATGATTTTGTGCAGCTGCACCAGAAGCCTCTGAATTGGATCATCAATCTGGCGAAGCTTCTTCTGGGAGACGCAGATTCCTGCTGACACTGAGGTTAGAGCAAAACCAACAAACTGACTGATGAGTGCTAAAGAAAGCCATGTAGGCTCATTTGAAAGGGTTTCTGTAGTCTGAGAGGTCAAGCAGTGCCATAAAGTCAAAAAATTACCCGGTCTTGGTTTCACCTTTGCAGCTGCAAAATCCCCACTGGGAAAAACAGCAAATCACAAAAGTGATTCAGTTTGCTTGTGTTTACCAACAAACATTTACACGTTCTTCAAGTTCAAAGGATGAGCTCAAGACTGCTACCACATACATTAAGCCCAGAGCTTACATAAATCATACAGCTGGAAATGTGTTCAATGTGTTAAACTTACCTGACTAAAATATGATCAGGGGTAGCACAGGCAGCTGACTTTGAGCCTTTGATTAAAGATAAATAGTAAAACAAATGGGGTTTGGGGTATAATTAGTGAGCAAAATCCACGACAACCAACAGAAAAATCTAAAGCAGTGAGAAGAAATGAGAAAATAAATGTTTATAAATGAAAAAAGGCTTTGAATCCCTAAATGGCACCACAACAACTAACAGTAGTGAGGCATCATCAGGTAAAGTAAACGTGCCTGTGAATATTTGGATGTATGAAAAACACAAAAAAAAGTCTCTTTGAAGTAGGTAATAAAAATGTGATCATGTGCATTATCACAGCTTTGACACCACTAACCGTAGTGTTTCCCTGTAGAGTTGGTGGTAGTGTCTGTGCCTGTTTCAATATCTTCATCAGGGCCGTCATCTAAGCACACACGCACAACATGTTAGCATTGTGTCTTCACACCTTTCACAGTCTGAGCAGTATAAAGATACCCAGATACCCTGAGCGAGTCTCTGCTCTCTGCTGTGGTTTGAGCTGCAGGCTGTAGAGGAGCATGAAGGTGCATATTCAGTCTTCATCATGGGTGTTTCCTGTAAAATATGAAGCACCATTTTAAATCTCTGCAGGCTAATAATATATTTATTTATAAGCACTACAGCACAGTACAAACGTTCATGAGTCTGTATTTAACATTTATAAAGTGAAGAGTCTTTTTCTGATTTCAAAGAACTGAATTCACCTGTGACATGTTTGAGTAAGAGCAGGTCACCCTAATTTTATCTCTTTCTAGGAAAAACCTCTGTGCTCGTTTCCTGTCTCGCTCTGCTTTTCTTTCCAGTGAATTCTGGGAAGTGTAGAGTCCATCCATCAGCTTCATCATGAGGTCAGAGATCCTGGAACTCACAGCTATAATGTCCGGTCTCAGATCTGGATCTGGATTTAAACACCTGACAGGACATCACATCACAAAGTAAAGTGCTGAATAAATTTATTAAATAATTGATTGTTCTGTTATTTCTTCTTTTATTTCTTATTTTTCCACATGGATAATACATGTAAACACTAATACATTTAAATAAATTGTAACTGTTGTGGTGCTGGACTTCCTACCAGGGCTAATCCTGAGACCTCGTCCTTAGTGAATGCTTTTAAGTTAAACATGCATCAGTTAAGAAAATCTAGTAGAAACAATAGAGGAACCAGAAAGCAAAAAATTGAGATGCTGTGTAAAATCTAAATAAAAAGAAAATCCTCAAACACGGATTCCAGAAGCTAATGACTGAATCAATGAAGCCAGATTGATTGTATTCTGTATACAGTCTATGCTCACCATTTGATCATGTCGATGACTCTCTCTGAAAAAGTACCTTCTTCAATTGGCTCATAATCGGCCTCCACAATCTGCCAGCAGAGAATTAGAGTGATCAGTGACTGACAGTAGAAAGTAAATATATGAAGTTAGGCATAAAATGTGAGTCTTGTGTGTCTCCATGCTACCTTGCTGGCCAGTGACAGCATGTTACTGCTGTAGAATGGAGGCTGTAAAGTGGCCATCTGGTAGAGGATGCAACCTAAAGCCCAGATGTCAGCTTTCTCTCCATACGGCTCGTTTTTCACTATCTCTGGGCTAAAAACACATCACCACACTGAAAATCTTGAGTCATGAGGACCATTCATGCAATAAATCTCTGAATGAAGCCACAAAATCTGACGATGATCACAGAAGATTAGAAGGACCCCACAATTTGACAAGGAAAAAGAAAGTGTATGTGAATCTGACAGCATTATAGGAATATAATCACACAGCAATGGATTCTAAACTCTAAAACTCAAGTTTAGGCCTCGACTTTTTACCTGAAGCCAAATTGAGGCTTAATTCTAATGACAGCCATCGTATTTAAAACCTCTAATTGGAGGAGAGTTCCCACAGTTGTTTATGTGAGCAGATTTCTGTTCCCTCAGCTCGATTAACACAAAACAAGTGTAATAAAAGACAAAAACAGCTGAACGTTTGGACTTAACTTCCTCACCAGGAGTAAAGGATGGTGCCAACCACTGATGTGAGCTTGCTGTTCTCCTCCTTCTGCTTAGCTAGGCCAAAGTCAGCTTCAGGTAGAGGAAAGACAAGAGTTAAACTTTTCATATGACGGGATGTTCTGTGGGGAAACCTAACTGCACACTCACTGATGGTGACTTTATCTTTCTCCCCTAGCATGATGTTGTTTGGCGTCAGGTCACGATGGACTATCCTCTTCTCCTTATGCAGGTACCTCAATGCCAGAGACATCTGAAGGAACATGGAGAAATTATGTTCATTTCAATGCTAGAAGTGCTTTAGGAGTTGTGGCTCATCCATGTGTGTCTTATTTGCTGAGTGAAAATTATTGCTATTCATTTTGGCTATTATCAAAAACAATCAAAAACCAGTTTGGCAGCCAGGGTTTCTGTTCCTTTGAGTTTTGAATGAATATGTGAGTTTGGGTTTTTGCTTTGGTGTTTAAAGTTATGATTTTTATGTTTTGCGGGGTTATTTTTATTTTACACTCTAATATTTTGTTGTACCTAGGCTCTAGTTGCTGTTTCTTGCATTTTAGTCCCCTTGGGTGTTTCTTTTCATCCTTCTATGTTCCCTAGGAGTTAGTTCATCTATGTTGAGTTTTTTCTTTTCCTTTATTCATGTTTTCCCCTTTCAGTAATGGTCCATTATTCACTTCCTGTTTAATCCCATGTCCTCTTCTGTCTTCACTGGAGTTTTACTTCATCCCTTGTGACTGTGTTGATTGTGTATGGCTGAGTCTAATTTTCATTAGCTCTCAATTTCTAGGTTTCAGTTTAATTGTGTTTTCTATTAAGTTTGTTCTTAACCACAAAAAGGTAATGGTAAATGGCAAATGGCCTGTGTATAGCGCTTTACTCTGTGGACCCTGTGGGAAGTGTCAAATTAGTCAGGCGGTAGACAATCAGACTTCATGCAGTACAAGCAGTTTACAAAGCACTTACTAGCATTTGTTACCTGTATGAATATATTCCAAAGTCTGTCTTCGGTGAACTGCTGCTGTTTTTCCTTCAGAGAGTTAAAATGTTCAGCCAGTGGTACTCCCTCAATCAGTTCCATCACAATGTACAGCTTGTCACCTAAAATGGACATTATGATAAGTGTGTTTGGCCTTTTGCTGTTTTTTTCTTCTTTAAAGGGGACTTATTATATGCTCTTCCTTAATTTCCTTCAGATTCTTGCCATTATACCTTTGGATGTTCATGTTAAACATGACTACAGTTACAGATAATGAACCCAGTAAGTAAGTAATCCCTGTGAGTTTTTGGCTCACAGGGATTACAGGGATTATGAATCAGGAAAATATCCTTTAGTAGAGCCTGAGAATAACAATATGGACCTCAAGACAATCAAATAGACTCCCTGTAATTTTCAGTTTCAGAGTTCATTATGCTCACCTTCCAGAAAAGTCCTGTAATATTTAACAATGTTCGGGTGTGTCATCTAGAGATAAATAAGCAACACATTAACTTCCAACATGTAATCATACTGTCCAAATACAGTTCACTTGTGATTTGTATTGAGCCAAGTGCCTGTTCTTTGATGATTGTGAGCTCTGAGATGATTTTCTCCACATTACTGTCTCTGGACTTCTTGTCTTTGCCAAATGCAGGGTTGTGTAGATTCACCTCCTTCAACGCTAGGATGTTCTGGCCGCTCTGTTTTTGGACCTGTCATCAAACCAATAAATTTGAAGTAAATTTAAAAAGAAAAGATGCAAAACATCACAACCAACTCCAAATTTGGTCACTCTTGATTGTGTTTCCTGTTACTGATGTTTACCTTAAAGACACTTCCAAAGGCCCCGGTGCCCAGATGGTCCAACACAGAGTAGCCACTGATCACTCTGAGAGGAGGTCGGTTCTGGTCCACTGTCTCAATGCCTTCTCTCAGATTGTCCAGTTCCTCTTTCTGCATTGAAAACACAAAAACTTTGTTTGTTTGTCAGTTTACCTCATTTATTTTACCCCACGGCAGTCAATGTTTTTCCTTTTTTCCCCAACTCCAAAACAGCTGAATAAACAAATAAACTCATTTAGAAGCTATTTCTTACAGTGTAGAGTGAAACTTTGGTTTGCAGGCCCTCATAGGCAGCGAGGTCCCGCACATAATGTCCAACATCAATAAACAGCTCAAAGAGGTCTGTGGGAAAGAGTCTGTAATGGATAAAAGATCACAAAACGGCAGTGGAAAGCAATAATGAGACTTCTTTCCCTGGCAGTGTTCCAACAGTAGCTCATTTTAAAACAATTCATCCACTTCATGAACTTAATGTTAGACAGTTTCTGTTATATTTTAAAACTTTTTAATGCCGTTTCATCACCTCTTAAACAGATGTCTATTTCTTTCCACACTAAAGAGAAATCGGAGCGCCCGGAATGCATAGCACTGCCAGTACACAAACAGATATGTTATTTCCTATAATTAGAACATTTAGATTATTATGCAATTTGTTATATATAATAGCATATACCTGTAAAGAAGTGATTGTTTGTCCAGAGTCACATGGTATAATCAACTTTGCAATTATATAGATGCCATTTTCCTAAGAAAAGAAGGTCAAATGTAACTAACGCAAAAACATATACATGTGTTTTTATTTTTATTTATTATAGCTCATGCTTTTACATATTTCTCTCTGGTAATAGGATCAAGAGTAAAAGCACTCTCATTTGATTAATACGTGCTCTTCCACTAAGAACCCTTCTTTACCTGAACAATGTGGTGAGCAGATGTGTCATCTAGACTCATCTCAGTCAGAGCTGTACAGCAGGCTGAAAGGGGGATTAAAGGGATAGAATTTAATTTAAGAACTCATATACACAATCACAGAGTCCTAAATAGTCTGGATTACAGCTGTAAATATTTATATGACTCTCTAAAAAACCAAAAGGCCAGAAGGAAACACTGTGTTTGAAATGTAAATCTTAAGCTTTCCCTATTGATACTTCTCGGGGCATGCATGTTTGGAGTGAGCAAGAACGAGTTCTGCTTTATGTTAGAGTCATCAGACGTTTGAAAACAGGAAATTTACAACCACTTCCTGTGCAATTACAGACAGGGTTAGTCAACTCTCTGCAGTCGTCATTGTCTCATGTCAGGAAAAAACTGTTTACATCCTCAGTAACTGATAAGACTGGGGTAGCATTTTCTTTTTGTGCAGTAGGGACAAAAAAATGCTTTATCATAAACTCTCTGAGACAGAGGTGGAATAAATGTCCGCTTCTGTCCCTACGCAGACCTAGGGACAGGGATCATTGGAACGTATCGTAACTATATGTAAATTCCTAACCATCACAAAGGTACAAATATGTTCCCAAGCAGTAAAAGTTTCATATTTCCACCGTTTCTTCCAGATTTTAAGATGTATTATTAGTAGATGACCTGTGTTTTTACCCCAAGCGTGTTCTTGGTTTGAACTTTCCCACAGGCTTTGTTCTCCATGTGACTGATTTTATAATAGAAGTCTTTCACTTATAAAACCTGTTTTTCTCCAATTTCCACTAATGAGTACTTTATAAGTTTATAAATTAATATCATTAAAAATAAATAAATATATAATATTCTCACACAGAAAAGCTGGTGGGTACTTTGGTGGATTCAAACCCAGGACTTTCTTACTGTGGTACTAACCACTGCTCCACCATGCCACTGAGCAACACAGTACCCAGAAATAAATTGTGTGATATGCAGCGTATACCCTGACCTGACTGGAGCGCGATCGTGTTGTCCACCACCTCCTGAGGGCTGAGCTCCTCCCTCATGTGCTCTCTCTGGATGCGACCGGCTGCGTTGGCACTGGAGAGCGCCTCAATGGACGAGCGGTCGGTGATGTACCGCCTGTCACTGTGTGAATGATTTTGTGCCTTATTTTTTGGCACTGTGACTGTTTTAAGCCTGAGAACAAAGCTGTTTAATGCTGTTCAGTCAGCTAAAGTTACAACCTCCATCATTAGCTATGAAATATTGGATGAGATTATGTTGCAGACAAACGGAAAGCATTGTTTTTCTAACCAGCAAAGATGTGAAAGGATAAAAAAAGGATAGAAAAATATATGAGGTAATAAACTCCAGACAGATTCATCAGCAATATTTGCTGATCTGTCCCTTCAAAGACAAGGATCACACTGAAAACTAGTGAAAACAACTTACAGACTATAAATGTTCAAACTGAGAGCTAACTGTTGTAATCTAAACTTTAAATACATTGTACTCGCTCATTTTCACGAACCTGTGGAGCAGCCGGAGGAGCTGCTGCACGCCACCCCAGCTTCTGATCTCCACCCTGATGTCGGGGTCCTCGCAGAGCTGGACCAGCACCCAGGTGACACTCCATAGCAGTTTCAGGTGCTTGCCATGCAACAGACTCAGCAGTACTGGCAGACCGTCCAGCTCCCTCACCTGAGCCCTCACGAGCTGAACCGGGCAGAGCAGCCTCAACAGCTCCGCACTCATTCTGGACGAAGTTTAACCCCAATATTATTTATGTTAAGTGAATATAACTTGATACTTGCAGAGATAATATACACTATTATTCTTTACAGCTCTATTTTATTTGTCTGTCTATGTTTCTGTCCAGATTTTATGACTGTATATCAGCACTAATGGGTGAAAAAACCTTTTCCATAAATTAGAATAACAACTTAGTAGTGCTTTCTTACCTCTTTGACAGGAGGTCGTATTCCTGAAGTATTACAAGGAGGCTCTCCACTATCAGTAGCTTCCCAATCTCCTCTTTAAATTCTATGCTGCAGAGAAGAAAATCTTGTAACAGATGAAATCGTCCTTGTATGTATAGTCTTCGGTGCAACATTTACTTACCTCTCAGCCAAAGTGGTGAGTGCTAGCAGGGCTCCCAGTAGCACACTGCTATCAGTTGTCGAGAGGAGTTTTGCCATAGTCTACCACAGTCAGAGTTGGTATTCATTTACAAAAGGAAATAGAAATAAAGAGATGGCAAAGTGTCATCAATCCTCATTAGTACTTTCCCAAATGACAAAGCATTGGGCAAAAAAATTAAGAAAAACCACACTGGTAAATCTATGCTTCTTCCCTCACCTACAGCCTTGATCTGTGGGTAGTGACTAAAAAAAATATCGGATCGCAGATACAAGCAATAGGAATTAGCTTCCGGTGAAGGATGTCTGGACTCAAGAGATATATTTAAGAGCTCAGCCATTCAGGGGGGACTCAGAATGCAGCCTCTACTCCTCCACATTGAAAAGAACCAGTTGAGGTGGTGGG